CTAGTCCTACACAATAAAAGTCGTATTTCTGGCAATGATTTTATCTGTTCAAAGAAAATATGAATATATTCCATATCAGTGTAATTCAATAATGGTAAAGGTATCCATCTTCATGTCGTAAGTCGAAGTTAAAAACCAACTCCACCATTGTCGATCAAATGTCCCAGTGATTCGAGAAGCTAAAAGAAAATAATAAACGTCACACAGCTTTCTAGTTAAATTAGGGATGGGACAATAATATAAGTTTGTAAATGCCAGGTATTTTCTGATGCCAAATTGGCTGAAAATTTAGAATCAGAAATATTTGTTTTATGAAAATAAAATTTTTATGTTGGTGCAGTGTCTTTTTTCAAAATGGCGGCCGAAATTGTTGGAAATAATGGAGAATTTTATACTTAATGTAACATGGGGTTTTCGCGGTCGCCAAAGTCAAATATGAGTTCAAAATTTTATTTCAATAATCCAAAATGGCGGAAATCCAAAATGGCGGCCAAAATTAGCAGTAAAATTAGAAATTCAAGATGGTGGTCAAAATTGGCGGGAAAATTAAATTCAAATAATCAAATATGGCAGAAATGTAAGATGGCGACCAAAATTAACAGTAAAAATGAAAATCTGATACAAGACATACAATACACTTCATATTCATATTCATATCCATAAGGCCAATCAACACAAAACTAATGAGATTTAAGAGCGTCTTTAACGATTTCATCAATATTCTCCACAACATTATTTCCGGGCTTGATAACGGTAATGATGGTTTGCTTGAGTTCTGCTTTGGAGAATGTTTGAAATTTGAAATGACCATTTGGTAATTTTATTCGTCGTTTTTGGTGTATATCTGGGCAGATTGTAAGACGTATATAGCATATTTCCGTGATGAGTTGACTCTCTGTTAATCTGTCAAGCAGGTTAATCGTTGTCGGTGTTACTGATCCTATATGTGTCTTGCATGACTCCAAAACCTTCAGCATTTTTTCGTTTCGTTTTTTTTTCAGCTCTTCTTTCTTCAGTAGTGCTAACCGTTTTGCCATTTTCACGGTCGCCAAGAAGTCTTTCTCCAACTGTTTCACATCTTGGACCGGTTGGGATGTTCGTCCAGCGAGCCATTCCTTGAATTGGTTGTGTAAGGACACAGAATGAGAAGCATGGCTAGGTGACATCAGTTTAGCCAGTGCGATCAAGCCGAGCGTATGGAGACTGTATGAAGTAGAGTGTAGTATCTTGGATGCGTTAATCAGTTTGTCAAAGCCAGTTATCTGTTCTGTGTCTCTGAAAGTCTTGTCGATACTGTGATCAATACAAAGAAGTAGATGGGCGCAGCATTTCAGAAACTTTGCTGGCTCAATACCGAGAATAGTCAACATCTTTGAGCAGTCAGCTGCCCGGTCCGTCATCCAGAAGTCAATATTGCTTTTTATTTCATCAACACTTGAGCCAGCTAATATAGCGAGGCACTGTAGGTTGAAGTTGTAAGCTTCTGCCCCTGCTTTGCCAGCATGTGAAGCGTTTTCAAGGTAACCTGTTGTGAGCAACCTTTTCTCGCCAGAGGCTTGTGTGATTGTGATACTGTCAGTTTTGATGTCGAATAATCTGTGTCCGGCTGCCTTTGTTGTATCGTCTAGCCCAACGGTGATGACATCATCGCCTTTGTTCAGTAGGTGTCGGGCAACCATCTCCAAGTTCAGGCACGAAGCATCCTGAACATAGTTTGATAGGCATTTTCTAC